CTGCCTCTGCCTCCCAGAGTGCTGGGATTAAAGGCGTGCACCACCACGCCCGGCGTCTTTGGCATTCTTTAGAATATGTTTACTCTAGGTGAAATTTGGTTCTGCCTAGACTGAAACTTTTACTTTTTTTTTTTTGGTCTTTTTGAGACAGGGTCTCCCTGTAGCTTCAGCTGGCCTGGAACTCACTATGTAGACCAGGCTGGCCTGAAACTCAACAGAGATCTGCCTGCCTCTGCCTCCCAAGTGCTGGGATTAAGGGCGTATGCCACCATGCCTGGCCTACCTTTTGAAATTGGCAGACTTCATAATTAGAAATAAGCAGCAGTAGGGGCTGGAGAAATGGGATTGCTCCTACATAGTACCCCCAAGTTCAGTTCCTAGCACCCACATCAGGCACCTCACAACTATCTAATTCCAGCTCCAGGGTCTCTGATGCCTCTGGCCTCTGAGGGCACCTGTACTCACTTGTGCATAGTCCCCAGACAGATACACATACACATGTGCACATAATTAAAAATAAATCTTAAGGGACTGGAGAGATGAAGAAGCACTGGCTGCTCTTGCCGAGGACCTGGGTTCAAGTCCCAGCACCACATGGTGGCTAACAACTGTCTGTAACTCCAGTTCCAGGGGATTCAACACCCACTTTTGTTCTCTGAGGGCTTTACACAGCATGGGTGCACTTACATACATACATACACACACACACACACACACACACGCACACGCGCGTGCGCGCAAGCAAAACACTCATACTAATTAAATTTTTTTTTTTAAAACATCTTTAGAAATAAGCATCCTCTGCTGTGGGTTGACTTCAGAGGCTAGAGCAATAAGGTAGATGTTCTGCTTTTAGTTTTGGCAGATGGGGAGACACTGTCTCTGGGAATAGGATTAACAACTGAAATGTGAGCTAGTGAAATGGCTCAACTGCAAAGGCACCTGCTCCCGGTAGTCCCAACTGGCCTGGAACTCACTGTGTAGACCAGGCTGGCCTTGAACTCACAGAGATCCGCCTGCCTCTGCCTCCCAAGTGCTGGGATTAAAGGTGCACACCACCACACATGGCTCAGTCTGACGGTTTTGAGTTCAGCCCTAGGACCCACATGGTAGCAGGAAAGAACCAACTCCATCTAGTTGCTCTGTGACCTCACTAGAATGAATGAAAGGATGAATGAATAGATAAATAGAACAAACAAATGTCGGGCCCTTAGTGTGAATCCTGGCTGCATCCTTTGTCAGTCTCTACCTCAGTTTCCTTTTCTGGAAGTCGGATAATGATGTTATCTTCTTTGTAGGGTTGTTGTGATGATTAAATGAGTTGTTATGTGCACAGTGCTCAGAACAGTTCCTGGCACATTGTAAGTGCTGTTTGTTACTGTTGATGTTTCTCCTCCTCTGCACTGTTAGGATAACTGCCCTCCACTTCTCAGTGGGAGAGGGAAGAGATAGGCTCAGGAGATGTGGTGGTCTATTTGGTCACAAGTTTTTGTTTTGCTTGAAAAAGCTTGCCCTGGTTTCATTCCCTAGTACACTCCCCCCCCAAGAGCAAACATTATAATAGAGACACAGATAGCTCTGGAGACACAGATAGCGGGGAAGACGCCCTAGGGTAGCTGTCAATGTGCCAAGCTTTCAGTTGCAGAGTATTGGTGAGCTCCCAACTCCCACACTTGACCATTCTTTCTTTTTTCTCAAGCACAAGAGCAAGATGACGTGCTCATCGTTGACTCAGACGAAGAAGGACCTTCAAATAACGCTGACATCAGTGAGGATGAGAGGACTCGCAAGAGGAAACTGGAGGAAAAAGAGGGTGGCAGTGCCAAGAGGTCTCGCTTGGAGCCACCGGAAGAGCTTGATGACATCATAGCATTAGATTGAACAGCCCTAGCCTCTGTCTGGGCAGAACCAGGTTGTTATGTCCTTTGTTCCAAAGGGAAAACACCACCACCAGTGGCTCTGATGCTTCCATTCCCTTTGAAAGCGTTCATTTGCTAAGACTCAGAAACACTGTGTGCTTTATTGACAGTAGGAGTAGTTTCCAAACCCTTTGAACAAAGCTGTGCATAACCAGTGATGAGCTCACAACACGCCGTGCATGTTGCCTTTCAGTGTAAATACCCTTAGGTACCATTTCATAGTTCAAAAATACTGTGGGTTAGTAAAGTTGATACCTGGTTATAAATATTATGCCTTTATTTTTGGCTAGAAGAAGAGTTATTTTTAGCCTAGATCAAACCATTTTCATACTCTTAACTGACTGAAACGGATTCAAAGAAGTATCGAGTGCTATGCATTGAAAATTGTTTTTTAAATATTAATCAGCACTATGTATATTAATGTAAAACAATGTTAATTTACTCAAATTTTCAGTTTGTACTGCCTGGTTTGTCTGAAGAAGACAATTTTTGTGTATTTGTTACAGTTTCAGGTTATTTATATTTGATGTTTTGTAAAACTCAAACAACAAATATACTGTACTTATGGACCAAATAAATGACATCTGCATTCTTGTTACACGGTCTGCTGCCTCACTGATTTATGCATTGTGTCTGCCACAGGCATGCTGAGATCTTTCTGTTTAGAAGTGTCATGCCTGCTCTGGGGAGACAGCTCAGTTCACCACACAAGCACCCAGGTAGAAATGCTGGTCATGGCATGCTGACATGTCTTGTGATCCCTGCACTGGGGAAGTAGAGGCAGGCGGATCCCCTGGGCTCACTGGTTGGACAGACTAGCCTATTTTGCAAGCTCTAGGCCAATGAGTGACCCTGTTTCACTAAACAAGGTGGATGGCGTCTGAGTAACAACACCCAAGACTGACCTCCATCCTCCACAAACATACACCAACATGCACCTGCACATACTCCTGCATGCGCACATAACAAAATTGAAAATATTACCTCCAAGCTAGGTGTGGGGACATGCCTGTAATCTCAGTACTTGGGGGATAGAAGTAGATCTAGAATTTGAGAAGCTGGAGAAATGGTTCAGTAGAGAACAGCACTGGAGTTACAGGACATGGTGGTACTGGTACACACCTTTAATCCCAGCAGAGGCAAAGGGAATCAGTTGGATCTCTGAGATCAAGTCCAGCTTCGTCTACATAGTTCTAGGCCAGCTAGAGCTACAGAGAGACCATGTCTCCATAAAAAGGTCCTGGAGTTGGTTCCAAAGTCAAAATTTAAATATGGGGCTTGCAAGGTGGCTCAGCAGGTGAAGGCACTTGCCACCAAGCCTAGAGACCTGAGCTCAGTCCTTGGTACCTACCTAAATGGTAGAAGGAGAGGATCAGCCCCTGCAAGTTGTCCTTACCTGCACACATGTATCATGAACCCACAAACATACACAAAATGATGATTGAATAATCTGCTGGCACCTGTAAGCTTTAGAGATGCTGGAGCTGGGTGGTCTCCTATCGCACAGTCTTGTGTGACTGTCCCCAAGTGCAGTCTTAGGTGCACTGTCTATGACCAGTGTTGAGTGGAGAATTTCTCACCTCCCCAACTCTACTCTTGGGTTCTCTACCCCCAGGGTACTCCAATCACATGCAGATATACCTCACATCTTGAGTACACAAACCCACTAACCTGTTCCACATGGACCTATGCTCGTGCTTTTGTGATGGGGCCTCTCGGGACTGACCATAGCGACGCCATGTTACACCCCTAGCTAATCCCAGCAACTGAAAAGTAGAGGCACTTGACTCAGTGTGGGAATAGAAAAATTTGGCCCTGTTGCACCCAGATGTGTCTGAGAAACAGTCAACATGTACCTGGCAGCTCTTGCTAACTGCTTGTTTCTGGTTTCTGTGCTTTCTGCTTCTCTTGACTTGCACCTGCAGGAAGAAACTTGGGAACTTTTCCACCCCTGAGCTATGGGAAACTTGGGGGGTGTGATGGTTTGAATGATAATGTCCCCCATAGGCTCCAAATATTTGGACGTTCTGTTCCCAGATGGTGGTGCTGTTTGGGGAGGCTTTAGAAGGTGTGGCTATCCTGGAGGAAGCACGTCACTGGGGGGTGGGCTTAGAGAATTCTTAAGCCTTGCCAGATCGCCAGGCACTCTTGCTTCCTGTGCCTGCGTGAGGATGTGAGTGTTGAGCTTCTGCTCCTCCTCCAGCCACCATGCCTCCCTGCCATGGTGGACTGTAGTTCCCCTGGAAACGTAAGCTCAAATGAACTCTTCCTTCTATAAATTGCTTGGGTCAGCTCTGCTTCCCTGGGCCTGCACGACCCACAGGCCTCTTTCTCAGGGGTAAGTCTATCACACCCTTTGTACCTTGATTCCCCCAACCTCATTCACCCTCCCATCTGCCTCACCTGTCTCTCCTCCTAGCCTGAGTCCTGTCCGATTCCTTGTCTTGGTGCCCCAGACCCTACGGGAACCACCACTGCTTCCTGATCGTTTGCATCCAGACCCACCCAGTTCCTTCTGGGGTCCCCAGGAGCCCTCTGGGCCTGGCCCCACCATCACTTCCTGGTCTTCACAACCTGAGGCTGTCTCTCCCTGGAGCCCTCGGAGACCTGGTCCTGCCCTCACCTCCCTGTGCTTCCCTGGGCTTCACAACCCGCCAGCCTTTTTCCTGGACTCTGGGGCTGACCTTTCCTCTTCCTGATCCTTTGCATCCAGAGGAACCCAGTTCTGGAGCCCTCTGGGCCTGGCCCCACCATCACTTCCTGGTCTTCACAACCTGAGGCTGTCTCTCCCTGGAGCCCTCGGAGACCTGGTCCTGCCCTCACCTCCCTGTGCTTCCCTGGGCTTCACAACCCGCCAGCCTTTTTCCTGGACTCTGGGGCTGACCTTTCCTCTTCCTGATCCTTTGCATCCAGAGGAACCCAGTTCTTCAGTGCAGTCCCCAGGAGCCCTTGAGGCCTCTTCCTGCCCCCATCTCCCTTTGCATCTCTGGGTGGCATGGCCACCAGCTGCCCAAGACCAGCATCTTTCCTGGGCCCTGCTCCCAGGCCAGTCCAACCCCAAAATTCCCAAGGCCAAAATCTTTCCTGGAGGGATCCAGACCTTAGGAGAAAGCCTGAGAGCATCTGATCCTCATCTGACTTGGGCCTC